AGCTCAATTTGCAAGATTAACTGGACTTCAATGTAAATTATAATTAAATAAAATCAAAATTATATTTAGGCATTAGAAATACGTCTTGAAATTGTAATGGATCACAAAAATGATTGCTACTTGAGAAAAACAAATTATAAGCTATATTAGAAAAAAATACTCCCAGTGAAGAATATTTAACATCAGCAACTAACACTAGCAGAATTCAAGTTGGGCAGGCACATCCACTGCAAGACATTCTTCTGCTATGTTCAAAATCTGGTTGTAAAATGCAACTCTTAATAAGCCTAGGTTTTCATGCTATATCTCATCTGGTGTATTTATTACCTGTTGCTGAAAGAAACAATACCACTCTCCCCACCTACTTCCAGGTGCTTATTCTTTCTTTGTCCCTTATGTTACAACTAATAATTTCTCAGCCATGGGACAAGCCAGGCCAGTGTATTTTTCTGGCACAGTTTTCCTTCCCAGGCAGTCAGCTTTTTTATTGAATCAGCTGCTTATCTTAAACTCACCTTGGGGCTGGGGGCTAATGTAAGAGAAGCGAATTAAGTCAAAGCAGTACTGTCCCTTTTGGCATCATCCTCAGTTGCACCAGACCAAATGAAATATTAAGCCCTGCTCTGAATAGTATTATTAGTTCTCTTCTTGCAGAATGCATCTTGAAGTGCCTTCAAGATTTCACATCAAACAGTGAGTCCGTGGGAGTTAACATCACAACATGAGAGAAACTCTGCAAGTAAAATTAGTAATACTATAGCAACAGAAGAACTCCACAAGCACTAAAACACAGTGAGCTGAACTGAGGAGCAGTATCTGGATGAAAAACCTTGCAATCTAAACAGACAAAAAGAGTGAGAAATTAATTAACTATCCTAATATCTTAGCAGATTAATAACAGAGGCAGAAATCAAATGGAAGAATCAGGACAGGCAGCTCTATCCATCAAACCACTCCTTCCTGTGGCTGCAGATGCTATTTACTTTCTGTTTGTGGCATGGCATCTCCATGTCAAGAACTGCACTTGGCTCCAGAAATAACAAAATTAAAATTAGCCACTGTATTTGTTGCTCCATAAGCAAATTAACAGTTCAGTGTGGTTTACAGCATCTGAAAGTTCCCAGTGCTTTCCCAAGCAAGAACTCTAACCCTTACTGTTTAGCTGACTTGGTAGCTCGTTCTGTTTTCCCTCTGATAATAGACAAAAGGAGAGAAAGTGAAAAAATGTCCACTGCTATATTTGTTTCTATTAAATGTAAGTGGGGTGCAATTTTGGATTAGTGCTTTAAAATCATCTTACAGTTGTCCACAGAAGTAGTAAACAAAGATAAATTATATGGAAAATAAATTAAAAAAAAAAAATCAGAAACAGAAAAGAGATTGCTCATAGAGGAAAAGCATTACAAATATATAACTTCCTATTTACTCTGTTAACAAAAACTAGTAAAACCAGCAACACCGGCTACAGCTCTGTTTTGCCTTCCAGAAGTAAAAAGCCCTCCCTGTCTATGTGTTGTTATGTGCTGATATAAACAGAACCATACACCCGAAACCAAACATAAAACCCCAAAAATCAACTCCCTGTCCCCATCTATAGTCTGCTGCGAACTACATGGAACTAATCTCAGGGACCTTTCAGTCACCTCAAAACTATTGCCAGTTTTTCTATTTCGGGCTTAAGATACGTCAGGGCTTTTTCAGGAACATAAAACATAATTCCTGAAGTCACAAATTACTGTCACAAGGCAGACAAAGTTCAGCACATAGATAAGATGACAGCTAGAACACCCTGAGCAAACAACAGCCTTCCTTTCTCTATGGGTTGTCATGCCATGAAAAAAGACCTGCAGAAAGACACTCTGCTTGCTTTCCCTCACCTTGGTTTGTCCCAGTAGTTCCCAAGGGCAGAAGCACAACCCTCATCCTCCAGTGCCAACCAGGACCCTACACGTGAAAGCTAGGTAAGTATTATTACCTAAAGTGGAACCAGACTGGCTGGTCAAAACATTTATTTTCACGTAGCACAATATTTGTCACATCAGCTGGCAGGTTCCAGAGGAAGCTGGGATACCAAAAGTCCATGGTCCAAGAACTGCACCTTATATACCAAACTCTGGCAAAAATCTAGCAAGTGGCTAATATTTTGCAAAAGGGGATCAAACCTCCAGATCTTCAGGGACTAACCTTACTATCAATACCAGCTTTCCCAGGCTCACATTCTCCAACCACATTAACACCTGCTGCCTTCCAGAGATGTCCAATACCAACACCTAGTGCAGCATCTGACCTTTACTGGGGCATCTCACTGGTACATGGATCACCGTCAGCTGTGATGTGCAGGTTCAGGAAGGAGCTTAGCACCCCTGCACTAAACAGTCAATTCTTGATTATTTTATTTTTACATATAATAACTGGTGCTTTGTTGCCTAATAGAATCTTGGAGTCTATCATGTTTATTAGAAAGGCATTATAAGCCTGCATCCTACTCGTATTGCAACAAAAGGAGCATACCTACAAGTCAGTAAGTATGTGAATGTTCTTACAATTAAATTGAAACCTTAAAAGAAAAAAAAAAAAGTGAGCAAAATACCAAAGATTCATTAGGAGAACATCAGGAGATAATTTTACCCATTTTTTTTTCTCAGTTGTTTATTTTTTGCTTTCAGTTAAAATTTTATTAATTATTTCATTGCAACTGAAGTGAATATTTTAATGGAATAAAGTGTTTAACTATTTACAAATATTTCCCCAAGACAACTTTTGCAATGCCTATGAAGAAAAATCAGGCAACTAGGCCTTTGCTGTGCTCATCAGAACACCTGGAGACAAACTATTTCCAAACTTTATTATGACAGCAAAGCTACAATTTCAACTTTCTTTCTACATATTATATCTACACATAGCTAATCTTATTATCTGCAATTTTACCATTACCACTGCACTCAATCCTCTACATTGGTTTCCCACCTACTGATGCTGACAGTTGCTCAGGTCACTGTTTACATTAGCTTCACATTCTTAAGGCATTTGCTAGTCTTCTTGTTACATTGCTGATCATTATAGGGCTTCCCTCTTAACTGGTCCAAGGCACATCGCTGTAAGAGAGGTCTCTACACTATCCAAAAAACAATTTTTAATCAATAAGAAGTATCTTTAATTCTTAACTAGCAGCTTCTTAAAGACCGTCGAACTTGAATGAATTCCTATATTCATTGTTAGATAAAGTTTATAAACTCTCTTTGATGTATCAGTGCCAGACAAAGTACCATGCACTCCACAGTTCAGTTATCAGCCCTAGCAGCTGCTGTCAGTTTGGCATGGTATCTAACTATAATCTGTACTACAAAGAGCAAGGTTCCAGTTTAGCAAAAGCTGGTACATCAGATTTTTCCCTGATCAAGAAAACCCTTAGACACCTCCTTGGTTTCTAAACAGCATTTTAACTGCATTTCAACAGCCCCTATGCATATCTTATGATTCTCTGGTGAATCAGAGCCTCAGATCAGAACATCGAAGTAGCCACCATACTAGTCATAGAATAACAAGTGTCACCACTCTGTAAAGAAGGAAATTATTTCATTTTGAAGTCATGCAGTTAAATGTCAGTAAAAAAACTAGAAGCTGCTTCTCATGAATTACTAACTTGTTTATAAGACTATTATTAAACACGTATGAGTCACCAACAAGCAGAAACCATAGCAAATTTTAGAGGTACTTTTAAAAAAACTTTTCAAGATAAGAAAAAAATTACATTTCCTTTAAAAAATGGATACGTTTAATTTGAGAGAAGGACAGCTTTTATTTCTAGAATGTTTGGGACAAGCAACACCAGGCATATGGTTTTATCAGACCCTCCACATGAAGAGGCACAGAGAAGACTTGTCCATTATCACTTGCAAAGAGATTTCACAAGAAATAGCTTCAGGTTTTGTGGGATCATATAATACATGCACTAGAGTGGTAGCTGTTGGCTTAACACATCTGTTTCAACAAGGTGGCACACTTGTGTATTGTGGAACAATTTACACAGAAGACGAATACATGTATCACATTGGTACACAGGTAAATTAAACCACATAAATCCATATACATGTAGCTACTTCAGCAAGGACAAAACTGGTTGATGAGGTTCAACGTAATTTGGATTTCTTCTTCCACAGTTGTTTATGATCCTGACATTTAACATGACTCCTATTAAGTCCACAGTTAAGGGCAAGGGCAAAACATGGATTTTTTTCTATGGGAACCTGAAAAGTTTCATTCTTACCAAGGAGGAGGAATAAGGTGGATGGCAAGTGCATAGGAACTATCAATTCATTCCACTTGTGCTCTGATGACACATGAATAAGCAGTTCAATCTTGAGAATTGTCAGAGGGTGGAGCATGGGGGCATGATGGTAGGTAAACAGTAGGCAAAAAGAAATTATCCAAAATTAACTGACAAATTCACTTTAAATTCACTTACTCACTTTTTCTTGTAGCATACAAACAGAAATGGAAAGGAGATAGTAAATACAGAACTACATGAAGGTATATGTTCTAAACCGATCAATTCCTTCACAGTTTTAACTGAACGGTATTTCTAGAAATTCAGAACTATACAAATGTAATTTTAAGAGGTCATTAAAGCAAAAAAAAAAAAAAAAAGGCAGGAGTTTCTCACTGTATTGCATTTAGTTCTTATTTTTGTCTGCTATTGCTTCAACAAGTATAGATTCAACTGTTCTGCTTGAAATACTTAAAAGTTCAGTATTTTTCTAAGTCAAGCCAGTGAGAGACGGCTTCCCTTATCAAAAGCAGTCACTAAGACAACCTCCTCTTCACCTTGTAAAATCTTTCCTTAAAACACTCATACAAATGCCCTAAGAGGAACTTGGCACCTAGATGAAAATATTCAAAAGTTATAATCTACTCCACCCCTTCCATCACTCAAGCAGCAGTCAAACTTCAGAGAGCATGTGAAAATACCAGATATTATAATCTGAATTTCATTTACTCACCACTGTTCCAAATCCTTAGGTCTTGGTCAACTAATTCTGATGCTTGGAAACACCTAGAGAAATAATTGACATAAAATGTAAGAGATGTACAGAGTCAAAAAAATTAAAGCAATATTTATGATCAATATTGGTGGGAGGAATGGTACAACTCTACTGGCGCACATGTGTAATATTTCACTACCAGGGCACTTCTGCTTTGCTAGCATTGTAGGCACCAATCCAACCACTAAGGAGCAAACAAAAATAAGAACATACCCTGGACTTCAGGAGATCAGAATTTGGCCTCTTCAGGGATCTGCTAGGTAGAGTACCATGGTATAAAGCTCTGGAGGGAAGAGGAGCCCCAGAAAGAGGGATAATATTTAAGGATCACCTCCTCCAAGCTCAGGAGCGATGCATCCTGACAAAAAGGAAGTCAGGCAGAAACTCCCCTCTGCCCTCCTGAGACCCCACTGGGAGTACTGCATCCAGCTCCAGGGCCCCAAACAGAAGAACAATGTAGACCTGTTGGAGCAAATCCAGAGAAAGGATATGAAGATGATGAAAGGGCTGGAGCTCTCCTGTAAAGACAGGCTGAGAGAGTTGGGGTTGTTCAGCCTGGAGAAAGCTCTGGGAAGGCCTTAGAGCAGCCTTCCAGTACCTACAAGGGTCCTACTAGAAAGCTGGAGAGTGACTTTTTACAGGACAAGGGGGAGCAGCTTTAAACTGAAAAAGGGGACATTTAGATTAGATGTTAAGAAAAAACTCTTCACAACAAGGGTGGTGAGGCACTAGCACAGGTTACCCACAGAACCTGTGGGTGCCCCATCCCTGGCCATGTTCAAGGTCAGGCTGGATGAGGCTTTGAGCATCCTGGTCTGGGGGAAGATGTACCTGCCTGTGGAAGGGGGGTTGAAACTAGATGAGCTGTTAAGATCCCTTCCAAACCAAACCATGCTATTATTCTGTGATTCTATGAAGGAGTAACAACTAAATCCCTAATCATGCACAAAATTGCATCTTTTTCTACATCTTACTAATAAAGGATACCAAGATTTGAAAATACAGTTAAAATTATCTGTATATTCTACTCTGATTTATAACAACATTTTAAAATCAGATATAACTTAGGAGAAATACCAAGAGTTCATGAACTGCTGGAATAAAAACCTGAACTACATAGAATGTTCACCGCACAAATTTATGTGGGGTGAATGTTGCACCTCCAAACCCCTTCCACTACCCCTCCACCCCCCCCCCAAGATTTTATGGAATTCAGGAAGGGCAGGCATGAAGTCCTGTACCTGAGATGAGCTAGTCCCTTGGACAGGCTGGGCACTGACTATGCAAGGCACAGCTCTGAACTGGAGCTGGAGGTCTCGACAGCGGGCTTACCTTTAGCCAACATTACAGGAATACACATCTGGAACAGCATATTCAGTTTTGGATCCCCAATACCAAAAGTAATCAAGTAAAGCAATAAAGGTAAGGTTGAACTACAGAATTCCACACAGTAATAATAAATTGTACATTTTTATACATACATCAGGACAGGATATATGAAGAAACTTCCCCTACATACAAGATCAAGGTCAGTAGACTCTAACAAAGAGCCACAATTTGGCCTTGGTGAGATAGTTTAACAACAGAAAAATCATAACAGAGTGTGCTGCAGAAGACAGAGGAAAACCTACTTGGAGCACTGGAAAATTCAAGCACAGCTTAAAATGGCCTCTGAGTTCCTGGCATATGGAGTATTTCTTCAGGAAAAAAAAAAAACAAACAAACAAAAAAAACCCCAACAAACCACCCCCCCCCCCAAACAAATAACAAACGACTCAGCTAAGTAGCTGTGATTATTCAAATGTTCTTCTTCTGTCTCAGAAGGAGTTAACACAGCAATGAAAATACAGCAGTATTCTCATGGATAGAGACTACCTTTCCTGAACAAGAAAGGCCAAATTGTTTTTTTTAGACTCAAGCACCCCCAAAAAGCATGATCAATTCTAATTATGTGAAAAGGATGGATTGCTCCAACAATTAGAATTAATTGGTGCTTTCAAGAAAAATTTCCTTGCCTGGAGTCTAGGCTTCCTAAGAAAGAAAAGAGGCTTGGGAAGGGTAAGACAGGATCAGCCCACATACAGCAGGTTGTAGAAGAGTCTTCTCTATTCCAAAGTCACAGCAATGATCATCCTCACCCACACAAGAAATAACACACACCCAGAAAGGGCAGCAAGTATTATAGTAAAAGGAAAGGCTCTCTTTTTTTACCACATTTGTGACAAAGCTATCAAGAAGAAACTCCACATGCTTTCCACTGCCTCATCACCACACAGGCAGCGTGCACTTTCCTTATGCTTCAGTTGGCCAAAATGAAACCCAAATCCTCCCAAACAAATAAGAATGAGAGAAACACATGTATGCTCTCACTTTCTCTCTCAGGAGCTTTTTCTTACAAATTTTGCAGTAACTCAGATGGATTCTAGAACAGTTGGGGAAAATACATCAAAATACATTTCTTCCTTTCTACTTAACTAGCTGCAAATTTGGCTGCCTCCCATGCCCCCCAAAGAAGAAAACATTACATTCTTTTTAACTCACTTCTCACTTACAAAGGAGAAGTGTTTTAGTACAACTCAGTGAGAAAATGTCTCTATACCAAGCCATTCATTTGAAGGTTTTTTATTTACAGTCAACAAGAGAAACAAATAGGCTGGACATTGTTAGAAAACAGTTGTTTTGATAACAGCCCTGTTCACATACCCTGGCTTTATACACAACAGGAATTGGGTATACTCGGGCTCCTCAGCAAAAATAATACTAAAAAAACAATACAGATATATCCGCTGTATCTTAAAATATCCTTTTCAAGTCACTTTTTCTTCAGATATACTACTGTGTGATACTTCCAGGTATTATATAGCCGTAACTATCCAAATCAAAGAAATACTTCAGGAAGGTTTGCATGACCAATTATGTTACTATAAATAGAAATAATGCATTCAATGGGTTCTTTGTATTTTGCTATCAGTGCAGAACAGTATAAAACAAAACAGTATAAAATAAAATTAAAAAAAAAAAAACCCAAACTATTTCACAGGCATCATTAGTGCTACCTTCAGAAATAACAGCAAAACAAGGAGAAAGCATTTTCTTCAGGGATACACTACTAGCAGGATAAATAAAAATCCCAAAACTAAAGGAATTACAATGCTAAACACCATAGAAAACTAACAGCTTGAGATGTACAATAGATTTTTTAACATTTCTCAGTCTGATTATTCTGTTTCACACAAACCTAACAAAAAAAAAAAAGTTTTCCTTTTTGCATTATCTACCTAATTTGTTCAATCCAGAAGATCATGCTACATATCTGTATGTATGTAATTTAAAGCAAATTCAAAAGTGCATACCATAGAGACCAACATAATTTGCAAGGTATTTCAATAAGAACAAAAAAAAAAATCTCACTTTTTTAAACAACAAGAAATACTTCACCCAAATGCACCTGCCCTGAAGTTTACACCTAATAAAAGCCAGATGTACTTCTAATACACTGCTGATCCCTGCTTTTAATGCCTGTTTTCCCACTGCACCACCTTAACCGAGAAAGTGGTACAGCATAGTTTTACACATCATTAAAATGTTTAAACCAAATATTACATTTTTATAATCCTAGTAATTCCCACAAAACTAAACAGGATAAATACAGAAGTATTTGAGAGACCTGCACTGTGAATAAAAGATCCCTCTTAGCCTGTTACCTAATATAATAAGCACCTGAGTGATAAGTGAATCAAATTACTGCATTTCTTAACAAGTCAGGCATTACTAACTGAAGCAAAATCTATGCAGATTTATTTTTAGTGTAGTTATCCATTAAAATTACTTTTGCCTTCTACAGTTAGTTTTACCTAAGCATAAAAATTTATTTGAAGTTAGTAAAACAGAGTATCAGCCAGGAGCCCAATCCAATGTTCACTGAAATCAGTGGGAAATCTTATCTTTATTTTACCCATGAGGATAAAAGGACACGAACTATTTACTTTAAAGGTGTAAAAGGACTTAGCAAGTTTACTTTACAACAGGCTTCTTGAGTCAAGTCTCTGTGTCACAGAGACAATAAGGCAAAAAGGCAAGTCACCCTCCCACAGCAGCACCACAAGTCACACCACAGCCAGCACTTTAGTCTTGCTCCCTATAACCCATCACCTCTGCCAGTCCAAGCAGCTGCCAAACCCAGCAGCTTTGCAGCATATCCAACAAGAACATCCACAGTCACTATAAAAGTTCCGTGTCTCAATTTTATCCATAAAGCTGCTCTAGGTGGCTGCAGCCTGGCCACAACCAAGACGGACCAGAAAAAAAGTGTCTCAGAAAGCAGCTTCACCCTGGGGCCAGCACTGCACAGCTACCTGCTGCCTCGACATGGGTGGTGAGAGAAACAGGTCCCATGGCCAGCCCAGCAGTCACTGGGCAAAGGCAGGCTCCAGGTCAACCCCACAGAAGCAGGGACACACACTGCAACACAGCTCCAACACAGACTGATGGCCCCAGGCTGGGCTGAAGCAGGCTCCTGGGCCACCAGGCAAGAGTGTGGGCAGGCCTCAGGGGCGGCTGAGGCCCCTTCCTGCCCCAGGGGCCCTGAGGTTGGCTTGCTAATTAAATGCTCTAACCGGTAGCATCCTCCTCAGCAGTGCACTAGAATCACTCGACCAGCTCAGACTATTCTTCCTAAATGTCAGCTGGCTTAATAAAATAACAACTTCAGATGAGTATTACTAGCAGTAATGCTACATTACTCTGGGGGTGATCTGCTCCCAAATTACCACACACTGTGGCCTGCAAAATGCTAAGTTTACAAATAAAGCTCTCTGCTGGCAGAAGTGGAAAAGAAAGACTCCAAGGGAGAGCTCATTATCTTCTCCCAAAGGCCTTGAGATGGCAAATGTGGAGTTTTGTTAAGGCATAACCAATTAATGCAGTGTTTATTTGATTAGTAGAAAGCTTGAGCCTGTTGCAAAAGGTTGCAGAGCTATCATTGTAACAGTCTGGAAAAAAAGACCTGTTA